CTGCCTCTACCGCAAACACAGAAACATGCCTGAGCGCATGCGCACCAAGCGCCACTTCAGAACAGGCAAGTTGGCCTCGGGGGAGATCACGAGAATCACGCGCGAATTCACACTGTCGGCGGAGCCGCTTGGCAACTAGTGACGTCACGGAGGCTTGGCCTCGCCTTACTGGGTGCCTTCAACCGGCTCACTCTTGCTGGAGTAGGTGACCAAGTGTTGCCAAGTGCCAGGCGGCGCTCAGCGGAAGAGCTCGGAGACTCTGGAAACCCTATAGAAACTCACGTCGTCATGGCAACTCTGCCCTATCTAGTTGGATATCTGCGTTATTTCTGCCACTCTATTGGATAGCCGTAGTGTTAATGCCTGTATCTGATTGGATGCCAAGGAATTTGGATCTTCCTTTGCTCTTAGCTTTTTTTTCTCTCCCAGCCGAATTTCTTTCACAAGCAGTTGGAACGTGGAGATGGAAAGTGACTTGAGTCGCCAGGGGGCGTGAGGGGTGTTGGACGTTAACACCGGAACTTGGCTGGAGTCAGCGGAATTATAATAGAGTGGCTCCGTCTCCTACGCAAGCTCCCTTTCCCCCCCCCGCCAGAGGGCGACGCAGAGCGGCGGGCCTTTGGGAAACTTGGTGACTGGTGACGTCAGTAGAGCTCCACTCGTGATTGGTTTCCTCTTCCCCTGCAAGAGCAGTCGTAAAGCAGGCTTGAAATTTATGTACAGGAGTTGTGACTGTGTTCTCAAGCCCTTAAATATGCACAGGGCATTTGTCATTATTATTTCTTCTCATCTCCGTAACCATGCCCGAATGTGCCAGCTATTATTAGAGCGGACGCCTAGTGCATCTTGGACACCCGCTGTTTTGCCTGACATCTGTTACCGCTGACTTTCTTTTTCATTAATTAACTTTTTTTTCAAAAGCAATTTTCGGTTTGCAGAAAACAATCCAGTAAAGGTACAGAGAGTTCCATGCCCTCCTCTAGACTCCCTCCCCAATTTTCCCCGTTATGAGCATCTTGCATTAATGGGGTACGTTTGTTCCAAGACTGATGCATTGTCAGTAGCTACAGTTTACGCGAAGGTTCTCTTTGCTGGTTGTACATTCCATGGTGTACATGCGTTTTCACACTGTTAAAACCAACGCTATTTTTTAAAGACAAGTTTGGGGTTCACAGCAAAGCTGAGAGGAGGGTGCAGATTTCCGATACCTTTGCCGCCCCCCAAGCACGCAGCCTCTCGTTTTACCCCCATCCCCCATCAGTTCGAGGACAATTGTAATGACTTGTGTCCACCACTGGAGCATCACACGGGAGCGTTTCACTGTCCTTAAAATACCCTGGACACCACGGATTCATCTTTCTCTCCTCGAACGCCCCTGACAAACGCTGGTGTTCTTTACCGTCTCCATAGTTTTGCCTGTCTCAGAATGTCATATCGCTGGCACTGCACCATACACACCTTCCTCAGATTGGCTGCCTTCCCTGAGCAGCCGCACTGTATGGGTCCCCCCTCGTTTTTTCCCGGCGTGGCCACTTATCTCTCGCTACCAATCCCTCTACCCACGTATGGAAGCTGCTTCACCTACGGAAGGACGTCTTGGTTGCTTCCAAGTTTTGGCAATCATGACTGGAGCAGCTCTGAACATTCTTATTCAGGTTTTTGTGTGGACATAAGTTTTCAGCTCATTTGGGTAAATACCAAGGAGCACGACTACTGCACCATATGGTAAGGGTATGTTTAGTTTTGTGAGAAACTGCCCAACTGTCTTCCCAGCGGCTGTGTGATTCTGCACTCCCACCAGCAGGGAGGAGCGTTCCCGGTGCTCCATGTCCTCACCAGCATTTGGTATTATCAGCACTTTGGCCACTGTGTAGGCCTGTGATCCCAGCCCTCTGGGAGGCTGAGGCAGGAGGATTATAAATTTGAATTACACCTGGGCAACTTAGTGAAACCCTATCTCAAGATAAGAAAACAAATAAGTGAATAGGGCTGAGGATGTAGCTTGGTGGAGAACACCCCCATTGGTTTTGGTTTTGTTTTTGTTTTGAGACAGGGTCTTGCTCTGTAATTCAGGCTGGTCTTAAACTCAGTATGTACCCCAGGATGGCCTTGAATTCTCAGCAATCCTCCTGCCTCCGCCTCCATGTCTGACAACACCCCTATTTTCAATCCCCAGCACTGCCAAAAAAAAAATGAGTGCACCAATTTAAGTGTACCATTCAGTGTCTTTAGACAAGTGTGTACCGTGCTGAAGGCAGTCAGGATGTAGGGGCCTGGGGCATCGTCTCAGATAGTCCTTGGGTGCCAGCTCCTAGTCAGTCTCTCCACCCCCTCCCACCCGGCCACTGCCCCAGGCAGCCACTGATCTTCCCCTTCTGCGCAGTTCCTTCTCCACAGTCATGGGAATGCGAGGGTCGGTACCAGTTCTCTGTGCGGCTGGTTCCTCTCACCGTGGTTCCGAGATTTATCTGCAGCCCTCCAGCCATCGGCAGGAGGGTCTCTTCTCCGAGGTGTGTCCTACCTCAGAGCTTGCCTCTCCCCTGTCACGGCCATGCGGGTGGTTCCCAGGTCTCCAGATGGAGCTACTGCGGTACTTGTGTGAACGTCTCTGCATTCTGCTGGGTGAGGAGGCCTTAGGAGTGGGTTTGCCGGTCTCTGTTTCTGCAGGCGGCTGTGGTGCGACCTCACCTGCCACCCAATACCCAGCGCGTTCTAACCCTCAGGTCTTGTGAGTCTGACGTTTTGGAAAAGGGGTCTTTGCAGATGCAGTTATGGTAAGGATCGCTAAATGACATCACCCTGGACTGAGACAGTTGTCCTCCTAAACTGAAGGCCGAGGGGGCCTGGAGGCACCCGCAGGAGGCTGTGGTGAGAAGGCAGGGACAGATTGCAGGCGGGCAGCTTCGGCCAGGGCTGCCAGCAGCCCGAGAAAATGGAAGAATTCTCCCCCCGCCACGCCGGCCGCCCCTGGGCTGCAGACTTCCGCCTTTCCGAGCCGAGACAGGATGAATTTCTCTTCTTCCGAGCCAGCCAGCGTGCGGTCATTTTTCACGGCAGTCCAAGCACACAAACGCAGCGGCTGCACCGCTTCCCGTGGTGAGAGGGTCTATGGAAACGCTGCGCAAGAGACTGCAGGTGTGAAAATGCCGAGGGGCCAAGGGCGTGCTGTCCCGGACGTCCGTGCCGAGGGACAGTCCCTTGCCCACTGCTGTGTAGCTCTGCCAGGACCATGAGGAAGGTTTGTCTGTGTTCCTGACTAAAGAATGTTCTGCATTCAAGGAGATGTACAGGGCTGATTCAAAAGATACAGTGGTGGTTTAAACTTTTTAACAATGTACTGCAGTGAAAGACACTGCTGTAATTTCTCTCAAAAATCCTCCGCCTCATTTTGAACACACTCCTCCCACCGCTCTAGCCACTTTCCGAAGCAGCTCTGGAGTCCTCTTTCCTGAATGTCTTTACACCGTGCAATAAAAAATATAGTGAGTGCTGCTGCCAGGCACCGCCTGACAGAAAGGCAGGTCGTAAAAACATGACGCTGGGCCAGGGACACAGCTCAGTGACATAAGTGCCTGCTTGGCAAGTGCAAGGTCCTA